TTCTATAGGCCAGGTTTAGTTGCCTTTTCAGGGAATAAAAACACATTTGCAGAGAAAAATACAGTTAGTTTTACGATCAAGTCTTTGATTCAATATAAAATTTGTTTATTTCAATAAATGTTCTAGTAGGTTAATTAATCTTTATAATTAACAGACTGTTTCACATTAATTAAGATATAAATAAAATGGGTCCGCATTTGGGACGGACTCCCCATTTATTGAGGATTATAGGATGCCATTTAGGGAGTGACACGTGTACAAATACATTGAGAATTGGTGTACCATGTTTGCTACACGGCTCAAGTGCGACACTGATTTTAAAAATTAATTTTTTATTTCTATTTTTTTTTTTTGTCTTTCTTTTTGAATAAAAACTTGTTTGTCAACTGTAGAAATTATAAGTTCTACATGATTTTTTATGTACCATATAACATTATATTATATATGAAAACTTAGAATATATACTGTAATAGATTACATACTAAAAAATAAAATAAAAAGATATAGTGTTTATTAAAATTTATTTAAAATAATATTTAATTACTTAGGTAAATAAATAAATCAATATATTTTATTTTCATTTTTTATTAAAACATTAACTTATATGTATTTATTTTAATTATTAGCATGATGCTATTGAAATTACTTCTTTAACATGTACAAAGTAAAAATATTATTAATTGATAATTAAAATATAGCATTATTTGCTAGTATGTGAAATTAAATTAAATAATTAAAAGTAAGATAATTTGTTATGAGGAAAAAATAAATTTTTATTTCAAGATAAAGGAAAAAAGGGAAAAAAATAAAAAGAAAAGAAAAGAAACAATAGAGAACTAAATAACCGTCCAATATAATAGCGAGGAGAGAGAAACTAAGACTTAACACCATTATTTCATTGGTTAAGGAGACAGGTGTCGTAAGGTGAGTGGAATCCATTTTCTTGAGATTTTCGGAGCGTCCGTTTTGAATATAATCCCAAATAAAATAAAATAGAAAAGTGGTGATAGCTACTTCTCTATGACAATCTTGATATTAATTAGTAGAAAATTAAGTTGCTTCTTCTAACTGTTTTGGGGCTGTTTGACATAACCTATCAAACATTTCATTAATAGGGAAAAATTCAAATCATAGTTCACTATTTGAGATAAATTCATACTTATTTTAAGGAGAAAGGAGTACTGCAAGGTCGAGGTGGAACACGGATCTAAAACAGGTGGGGGCCATGAAGAGGTCATGCATGGAGGTTGCCACGGAGGGTGACGACGGAGCGGGTGGCACGCTCCAGGGCATACCACTTGCTGGAGACGAGGGCGGCGGAGTTGTGGCCGTGGACCTAGAGCACGGCCCACGATTATGTTTTTTCGTGAAATTTGGATTAAATTGGATCGGACGCTAATCAATTATGTTGTTTGCATAGTGGATTAATAAACCAACGACGTTTTTTTGTTTTATAATCGATTTATTATTTTTAGGTCTAACGGCAATGATGGTTGAGATTGGAGTCAAATTTTGGTTAGGGGTTAAAATTTAATATTTGGTGAAATTTGGGGTC